CGTGTTTCTAAGAACACTTTAGGCTGAGATTTCCTGACATTCAAAGCTGCTTCTGTTATGAAGGCCTTTAAGTACCAGTTATGGTCATGATGACTGTTGGCATCTGATTCATTGCTAATAAGGCTTAACTGCATTATTAAGGGAGTCCCATTTTTTTTTCCTTGAAAACAATGGAAATACTCATTATAGGGAAAAGATGGGCTCTGCAGCAAGCACACCAGTGGTAGAAGGAAATACTGCAGCCACTAAAGATAAGAAGAACCAAATTTCTCCGAAATTTACATGGGTTGACAAAAGGCACATAGAGTCTGAATGGCCTTTTGTACAGCTGAAAGAGTTGAGAAGTAAATAGTTTTAAAGTAAGGTTGCAAAATTTATGAGTAGTGTTACAAAAGGTCTTTAGATCTAAAAGAAAAAGGTTAATCTGCAGTACATTTAAAACAACAACAACTACAATAAGGTGTAGGGCAATCACACTTTACGCTATAAAAGTATGAGAAAATAGTTTATTTTCATAAGTTAAGATCCAAACTCTTTACCAACCTCCAACACTTCGCCAATAGAAATGCAGCTCAGTTTACTGCCTGAGATATAAATTATTCCTTCAGTGAAGGAAAATCATTCTTCCTAGAGCTAGAAGGTACCTCAAAGCCCATAAAGTCCAATACTCTCACTCTGCAGATGAGAAAACTAGTCCAATGAGGTTACAAGTGACTTAACCAAGGTCACACAGGTGGTAAAGGCTAGAGGAGAGACTTGAATCCAGGTCCTTTAACTTCAAACCTAGTGCTCTTTCCTCTGTACCATGCTGTAGCTAAAAAAAAAAAAAAAAAGATAGCATGAAACTTGATGGGGCAGTCAGTTGGTGCAGTGGATAGAGTGCTGGACCTGGAGTCAGGAAGATTCTTCTCTCTGAGTTTAAATCTGGCCTCAGACACTTACTAGCTGTGTGACCCTGGGCAAGTCATTTAGCCCTGTTTGCCTCAGTTTTCTCACCTGGCAAATGAGCTGGAGAAGGAAATGGCAAACCAATTCAGTATCTTTGCCAAGAAAAACCCAAATGGGGTCATGAAAAGTTGGACATGACTGGAAAATGATTGAACAACAACAATGAAACTTATTGCCTTTTGCTATATGGGAATTTTCCTCTTACTCTCATAAAAATGATAAATCCCCTAAACCAGATGTAAGAAGCCCATACCACAATTCAATTTCTTAAGTTACAGTTGCATCAAGAATAACAACCATGGTATCTTTTATCCCCTACAGGGCAACAAATAAAGTAGGAAATTAACCCTTTCTTAAACTCAAAAGCTCTTCTAAACTCATCAGCATCATCAATGAAGTTGACATGGTTAAAACAGCAATCCCAGATTTATAGTTAAGCTCCAAAGTTGTCTAGAGTTGGGGGAGTAAGGGAGAAAAGCTTCTATTACATGTTTTAATTTGACAATATCCTTTGGAAGTTTTACAAAATGTAGATTTGCCTGACGTTAGTCCAATGGATCAAGGTTAAATTAATAATCACCCAGAAGCTGCTCAGATGCATTTCTTTCCTCATTACTGAGCAGATAAAAGAATTTTGTCATTATGTTTTTAAGGAGCAAGGGTGACCTCAACAAGCCTGATACAAAGGTGCTTTGATAGCACATATGTTATTAACTGCCTATTGCCTCAACAGTCAGATATAATAGAGTAGAGCTCCACAGATTAATACAAAGTGGACTCATCTTGGCCGTGATGATGGAATTCCCCTGAAGGGTGATAAAAATAATGACAACATACTTCCATGAATTCCGCAAAAGATAATTTTAGATTCTTTCACCTGTGAATACCCTGTTCTTGGTCTAAGTAGGGAACGATATAGCATTTCTTTTAGGGAGCTACAACAGATAGGCTATTCAATCTAGTTTCCTTTGAAAACATGACTTTAAAAAACCACTCCATTCACACATCTCTTACTCTTGCCATGGATATAACTGGAGTAGCTAATTTTTTCACAGCACTTTAAAGGTTGTAAAACCACACCCATTATCCTCCACTCCGTGTGGTAGGGTACTGCAATATTATCTCCATTTTACAGATGAAGAAACTGAGGACCAGGGAGATGAAGAGATTTGCCCAGGGTCACAAGATAGTAAATGCCAGAGGTACAGTTTGAACCCAGATCTCCTGACTATAAGTCTACCCCTCTTTTTACTTAACTGCCATGACAACTTAAGGTCATTTTGCTGGGATAGGTTGGTAATAGTGAGCTAGGGGATTAGAGATGGAGATGACTGTTATTATTTCTCGACTAAATTAAATTCAACAAGTATTTATAACGTCCAACTACATATATGACATTGTGATTGATGTTAAGGATATAAGGGTAAAATAAGATAGTTCTTGCTTTCAAGAAGTTGACAATAATAATAGCAACTAGTATTCAAATAGCCCTTCGAGGTTGGCAAAGTGCTTTACAAATATCTCATTTTATGCTCATGAACAACTATCCCCAATTTATGGATGAGGAAACAAAGGCATAGAGGTTAGATGACTTGCCCAGGGTCACAAAACTAGTGTCTCAAGATGAATTTGAACTCAGATCTTACCGACTCCACTGTGCCACTTAGCTATCTCTACAACTTTGAAGGGACCTAAGGGATATACAAAAATAAACATAATGTATTAGAATGTGATAAACAAATTGCTGGAGGTGCAAAAGAGGGGAATGACAGATTCTAGGGGCAGCTAGATGGCACAGTGGATAGAGCACCAGCCCTGAAGTCAGGAGGACCTGAGTTCAAATCTGGACTCAGACCAAACATTTGACACTTACTAGCTGGGTGACCCTGGGCAAGTCACTGAATCCCAAATGCCTTAAAAAAGATTCTGAGAAAGACTTGCTTCTAGCTGGGGTATCAGGGAAGGTTTTGAGGAGTTGGCAGCTAGGCTGGACCTAGAAGGAAAATCAGAATTTCACCAGGTAGGGATATAGAGGGTTTCAGGCATGTAGGATGGCCAAGGTTGAAGTGTGGAGGCATATGTGGGGCCTCAGAAAGCTTCTGTCCTGTGCCCTCTTTGCCTCTCTGTTTTTTTCTTTCTTGACAATCTTATCACTTCCAAGGGCTCAACTGGCATCTCAATAAAAATGGCTCCCAAATCAACACATCCAGCTCCAACATTATTCCCCATTAACTCTAATCTCAAATCTCCAACTGTTTACTGAACAGTAGTACCTAGATATTTCATTGGTATCTCAAATTCATATCTCCTCTGTTTGACATTCAAAGCCCTTCACAACACGGCTCCAATTTCCCTTTTCAGCCTTGTTATTATACTTCACTCCAAGCGTACTCTGGAAACAGCTCTATATCCATCATCACATTTGAGCCTCACAATACTCCTGGTTGCTCTCCTCCATGAACTCTATGGTCCGACTGGCTTTCATGTTTTCCCTCATGCATGACCCTCTAACTCCTGTGTCTGTGCCTTTATACCCCCTCATGCCTCTTAGAATTCCGAGTTTCCTTCCAGATTCAGCCTAAGCACCAACTTCTACAGGAGGATTTCCTGATTTCCCTCCATTCTCTTCTCCCCTCAGATTGCCATCTGTCTCCTTTGTAGGCATAGGTGCATGTTGTCTCCCCCAGCTAGAACATTGGTTCCTTGAGGGAATGGATTGTCTCCTTTTGTCCTTGGATATCCAGTGCCCAACTCAGTGCCTGGCACATTCTAGGTGCTTAAATAAATGCTGATTGATTATGCTTAATTAATGGAACCATTATTTTATAAGGATAAGGACAGGGATTGGATCTATGATTTTACTGGTATAGGGAACTCTTAGTGAGAAAATTTCTTCTACTAATACAGGACAACATGTTCTTTGCAACACATAGTCTTAGACAGCTTTCTATGGCACCGAAAGCTGAAAGTACTTGCTTTAAGTCACACAAAGACAAGTTGAACCCAGGTCTTCCTGGCTTTAAGACTGACTTTCTAGCCACATATCATACTTCCTCTCTATGATTACATATTAAGAACAATCATGCAATTCTCTGTAGGAGTTCTGGTCCCAAAGAGCAGATCAAGGAGTAATGGGTGGAAAGTGCCAAAAGGCCAACTGAGTTTTGATGTAAGGAAAGATTTCTAACCATGAGTTACCCCAAAGTAGAACAGGCTGCCTCAGGAGGTAGCCGGTTGTCCCTCACTGAAGATCTTCAAGCAAGGGCTGGATGACCAATTGTTGGGTATGGTACAGGGGTGGGGAACCTGAAGCCTTGAGGCCACATGTGGCCCTCTATGTTGTCAAGTGCAGCCCTTTGACTGAATCCAAACTTCAGAGTACATATGGTACAGGTGTGAGGAACCTGTGGCCTCGAGATATGGTATATACTTTATGAACAGAAGATGGGATATTCTTCTTCAGGGATAAGTTGGACCAGGTGGCTATGAAGATTCCTGACAATTCTGAAATTCTGGAAGTCTGTGAGATAGGCAATTGTGTACTTTGGGTAGCTTGTGAGATCCTGCTCCTTTTTAGGATGAAACACTATAATGGAGGTTTATTATTAGAGGCTTGGTGGTAGAGACAGAAGACCTGAGTTCCAATCCAGCCTCAGATACTCAATAGCTGTGTGACCCTGGGCAAGTCATTTAACTTGCCTTTGCCTCAGTTGCCAACTGTAAAATGGGATAATAATACCATCCATTTCTCAGGGTTGTTGAGGATCAAATGAGATATCTCTAAAGCATAGTGCCTTGGCTCAGTGTCTGGCACACAGTAGGTGCTATATAGATGTTATTCTGCTTCCCTTTATTTGCTTCCACAGATAAGCCACAATCTTCTCCTGGAAAGGTGAGAACTGCTACAAAATATACCCTATGAGTTAAGTTCCCCTATGGAGAACTTAAGTATGAGTTCTGGACATTTGGGAAAACAGGACCAGGAGTCTTTTATATTTTTGACTTAAAATATTATCATAAAAATGAAACAGGGAATTAGAAAAATAACTTACTTTGCTCTAGGTTGATGTACCAATCCTGGAACCTCTTTATTAGGCTTAAGTCTTACATTTGAACTGGCACTTTTTTCCTGCAAAACAAACATTTAAAGGAAAGATTAGGAAACTGGTAGGTAGGCAACCAAACATATATTCATGATCAGAGGGTTAGGTTTGTACGTGGAGAGATGTAGTTATGATACAGTGGAAAGGTGTGGGACAATGGGAAAATGACTGGATTTAGAGTAAGAGGTCTTAGTGGGACCTAAATCCAGATCACCATTTCCTACCTCATGTAACCTTCAGCAAGTCACTCAATCTCATTAGGTCACATCTTCCTCAACTGTAAAATGAGGAGGTGGAGGTGGGGGGGGGGGGCTGGATGAGTCTCTTGTACCACCAAAGTTATAAACCATGAGAGCACTTGATTTGGTATTGGAGAACCTGGATTCAAATCCTGAGTCTGTGTGCCCTTGGACAGGTCACAGCTCTTTGGGCCTCTGTTTCTTTATATGTAAAATGACGGTGGCAGATTAGTTGGTCTTTGAGGGCCCCTTCAGCTCTATGATTTATGATCTTAATAGTTTTGTCATATTAGAATGGTCTTAAAAACAGAGTACACAAGTGGAATCTGTCAACTCACCTGATGAAATAATTTAAGCCTGGAAAAAAGGAAGCATGGCTCATAAAAACTTGATACTACTAATTGTGAAGATGATGTTGAGAAAACAAAATATAAATATTTAATTCTTAACTCTTAAAAATGGGGATTGATGAAAATTAGCAGGTGTGGGGAATATGTTAAGAAGGAGGGAGTACGTAAGATTCTAGGAGAGAAAACCAAGGATGACAGTCAAATTGGTAAAATCTCAATCATAACTTCTTCCCAAATTGATTAAAATTGGCTATTTTTTTACATATAAGTGGTAGCGATGGCTTACTGAGACAAAAAATGTTCACACTGTCAGAGACACATATAGGTATATAACTAAAAATGACTACCAATCTCAGTCTTTTTAGAAAGTAAAATTGAATTCAAATGAACTCCTTAAATTTATTCCCTGCCTGAGTTCAAGATATATGTGTTGTCTGCTCCTCTGATCACAGGTTATACAAGAGAAAAATGATCCTAAAATTTTAAACACCAAGGTACCCATTGAATCAATATGTAATCTGTAGGCTTAAAACCCTTTGATTTTGAAGACCTCAAAGTTTTTCACAATGTCTTTACCAAAGAAAGAATTTTTTTAAATTCTCATTTTCATATGAAGGCATAGATGCCCGAAGAATTGGAAAATTGACTGAAATCAGTGTGCTAGAATTATTAACTTAAAACAAACTCAACCTTTTCCTCACATGCCAAGGAGAATAAGCCAACATGCCAATCTCCAAGAATTGACTATTTTTACTAAGACTAACCTGTTTCCCCTATAACTGTCAACTGAAGTTATGCACTAAAGTCGGTGGGGCTAAAATGTTGTGGCTATAGAGAAGGTATAATCTGGCTGTTGTTATCTGTATGATAATACTGACTGTCTAAAATAGGGCAATTATGATTGTATTTCCTATTAGAAGAGGACAATTATTAAAGTTCCTTAGGAGTCCACACTATGTAAGGTGTCCCAAAAGTCTTGGTGTGGTAAAAACAATCTTAAAATAGCACTAAAACTTTAGGGATGACTTTTGGGACACCTTGAATCTCTTTGTACTAAGCTCAAGAATCTTTCCATTTATATTTAAAAAAAAAAGGAAAATTCATTGCAGAAGACTCCCCATCTCCTGACTCTGAGCATTTTCTCTGGCTGTCCTCCATGTTTAGGATTTTCTCCTTCCTCATCTCTGCCTCTGGGTTTCCCTGTCTTCCTTCTGCAAGAAGCCCCTCCCAGTCCTCCCTAATCTTACAGTGTCTTCCCTCTGAGATTCTCTCCAGTCTACTCTGTATATATCCTATGCATAGTTGCTTGCACGTCATTTCCCCCATTAGACTGTGGACTCCTTGAGGGAAGAGGCTGCTTTTCTTTTGAGGGGGTGGGGGAGGTTCCTTGCATGCCTAGTATTTAGAACAGCTCCCAGCACATATAGGAAAGCATTATATTAATTATATTAATAATGATTATTAACACGTTTATATATCAATAATATAATTATATTAATCACACCATATTACATTATCCATTATATTAATTACATTAATAAATATTTGTTAACCAAGTGAAAATATATTATGTAGGCTACAAAGCATGGCTGCAGCTAGCACAAACCAATACACTGCTGTATTTTTCTTTTTTGCATTGAAAAGCACTTACTCCACAAAGCGCTGGAGATACAAATCAGAACAGAGACAGTCTCTGCTCTCAAGGAACTCACATTTAAAAAAAAAACCAACTAGTTTAATTTTTTTGCCCAACAATAAAATCATTTTCCCTCTCTCCTGCCTCCATTGAGGAAGAAAAGGAAAACAAAACTCTTGAGAGATTATATTTTCTTTCTACAAAAATGGGTGGAATAAAGAGAACAAGAAGAGAGAGACACTTCTGTTGATGTCCATCTATTCAGATGACTACTCCCTCTCTATCTCCACTCCTCTGTCCACTCTCCAGCAGCCACCTGTCCCTATGGCTCCCTCCTGGGTGCTGGTTCTCTCCACCTCAATGCTCCCCAATACCTTAAACTCATCAGACAAAACTGAAGTCATCTTCTATCTTAAAACTCTTCTTTCTCCTAGCTCTCCTATATTTTGTTGATGGTACCACAACCGTCAAAATCATTCAGGCTGTCATCTTTGACTCCATCTTCTTCCTCACTCCACAAGCAAATGAATTCTCATATCCTCTTAAATTCACCTTTGAAACATCTCAGGTCCCTACCCTACTTCTCCACACAGGTGATCACCACTCTCATTTAAACCATAATCACCTCTCTCCGGGACTCCTTGTTACTTTCAGTTTATCCCTTCTCCCATCTAATTTTCACAGTTCTGTTAGAGTAATCTTCAGAGCAATGCATTAGTATGATATTAGTATCATGTAATATATTAGATATACTAGTAAAATATAAATTCTTGATCCTAGCATGCAAGGTACTCCAACAGTTAGCTCTAATTTACCTTTCTAGCCTTATCTCATATTCCCTTTTCATTTAATACATTATGTGGGTTTATATTATAATATATAATTATATATAATATATATGACATATAATATATAATTATATAATATATAATTATATATTATATATATAAATAATAAATAATATATATAATATATAATTATAGTTGTTTCCCCATTAGTAAAGGATCTATACAAATATCTACACCCATATGTATATATATGTATATCTATACTGATATCGATACCTATACCTATTTCTCTATCTATACCTATATGGATATGTATATCAATACCTATACTCGTGTCTTTATCATCACCCGTTACCCAGATTATTGCAACAGTCTCCAAATTTGTCTTTCTATCTCAAGTTTCTCTCTTCTCCAAATCATACTGGACACATCCTGGACAAAGTAATATTCCAAAGTACATATCTGACCATGTCATTCTCCTGGTAAAAATCCCCCTACTACCTTTAGGATAAAACACAAAATCCCATTTGGTATTTAAATCCCTTCACCATCTGGTTCTGGTCTGGCTCTCAGGCTTATTAAATGTTAAATATTAATAATTACTTATTTAACTTAATTAACTTAGTTAATAATTAAATATTAGTCACCTTCATTAGTCACCTAGTCAATATGGCTTGTTATTCCTCATTTCCCACCTCCATGTCTTTGGCAAAGGATGAACCCCATGCCCAGAATGTTCTCCTTCCTCCCCTCCACCTCTTGGAATCACTAGTTCCCTTCAGAACTCAGGCCAAGTGTTATCTTCAACATGAGGTTTTTCTTTACAAATGCTTTACCATGCTCCTTTTGTATTTACCTTTTGCATACTTTGTATTAACTAATATGTACACCTATTGTTTCCTCTGATAGAATGCCAGCTCTTTGAGGTCAGGCACTGCTTCATTTTTTTGTTGGTTTGGTTTTTGTCTTTGTAACCCCAGGGCCTGAGGCAGTGCCTGGCATATAGTAGGAACTTAAATAATGCTTAGTGATTGACTACATCACTCATTTAAGTATTCTTGCTATTTAGATCTGAGATTAACAAAGGCACTTAATGGAAAAACTTGATCTAACAAAACCTCACATTTTTTTCAAAGTTTTTATGTATAATATGAAACCTATCAGAGCTTTAAAAATTGTCGGAATAGGGTAAAGATTTCCAATGGTAACTGTATAGAATGTACATGCAATTGTAACCGATTTACCATTTATATGTAATAGTAATCTATTTATTTTCAACTTATAAAACCATACCTTTCAAAGTGAAATGGATTTACTACACATTTTTAAAAAATAGATTGCATAGTTGCTAAGATAGGATAAAACCCCCAAACAATATACAATCAATGATTCCAGTAGCCTTTAAGTCAAGCCTCATTTTTGTCACTTACATGCCCCTATGCTCCATGTAATAAACAATTCTGAAGGTCGTAAAACAGAATATAATGAGGGAAAAACAAAATTCAAGATTGGCCAGGCTGGCTCCCTCCCCAGTGGCTCCAGGTTGGGGTTGTGGAGTTGATCTCATGTAGCAGACAGAACACGGAATTTGGAGTAAAAAAGAACTGGGTTCAAATTACATGTCTTACACCTACAAGCTAGGTGACAATGGACCTCACTGAGCCTCAGATTCTTCACCTGTAAAATGGAGCTTATAGTACTTACTCCCCAACATTGTTGCATGGCTCAAATAAGATGGTGTCTCTAAACACATTCTGCAAACCTTAAAGCACTCTTCTAAATGTCAGTTATTATTATCTGTTGGCTGCTCTATTTCCCCAAGAGTCCCTGGGGGCTAGATAGATAAAGAGTGTTTATTAAGCACTTATTATGTGCCAGGTTCTGTGCTAAGTGGGGATACAGATACAAAGAAACAAATAATTCCTGCCCTCAAGGAGCTTACATTCTAACAGAGGAAGAGTGGATAACAGCTGGAAAGTGGAGGGAAAGAGGAAGAGGGAGCTGCTCACCACT